CCATTTTGATTTATTCCATCACAACCCAAAGCCAAAAAATGGTGAAATTTTGGCTCCATCGGAGATGATGGAAATAATATTAAAAGAATAGTGTATGTACAAATACAATGGGCATACCCGTGAACAAGGGGTTAGCCCAAAGCTACCCCACACAACAAAATAGAAGCAAAGGCACGCAGGCTTAAAAATACAGGCACGAGGCCACAAAGCACGCACTCCACGCAGACTTTACTGGGTTGTTATTGTTGTTATTGCTTGCTGATGTTTGGCTAAAGTGGCAATGATACTAAAGGGTGTTTGGTCCTTTCCCTGAAATTTACTTTCCTTGGAATCATTCCACTCTTAAATGGAGAGTGCCCTCCCCCCATTTGAGAATCACTTCTTCGAAAGGAAAGGAATTATATTTGATCACTCACTTGGTCAATTGAGATGCCAACCAAGAGAATCTATGTCCATCCAATAACATTCCCTCATCCCAAATACCTTCTTAAGAGATGCACTAAACATTGGAACCGAAATATGTGAGATAGCTCATCCTCAATCGTCTCTTATGCATGTAGCACGACAGGTCAAGCAATTTCTGAAATTGATTGGGTAAATGTGAAACCTATGAGGCTATGACTGCATGGGTTGAAATATGAAAAAAATTTTGAAATTCCGCAATACAGGGTAAGGTTCTACATCTTGAACCCTTTTTCTCAACAGAGTTGGGATTATAGTGGGCTTGTTTGTGTTGTTGTATGAGGTATAAACCCCTTCGAAGTATGCTATGGTAGTACCATTTGCACTTTCATTCTAAAGTGTATTGTCTGTCCCTTGCGCTCTATTTGGCTCGGGGAACTATGAAGGAAAGGAAAATGCTACGTATAGGAAAAGAAAACCAAAGCAGACATCGTTGAGACGGGAGGAGAGAGAGATTTGTTGTATTTTCTCTTTTTCCTTGCCAAAATGGAAGGAAAATGATTTTTATATATTTTATATTTTATTCACCTTTTCATCCCTTTCTAGTTTTGTTCCTTTATAAATTATAACCGGAACACCGTAACTTCTTTTCCTTTTAAAATTCCTTGAACGATCGCAGTGTGATTCAGAACTGACCTGCATTGTTCCTCTGTAGTGCTTTCTCTATACTAATTGCTTCTTAATATTTTATAATTTCATGTTTCTTTAAGGAAACAAAAGAAGCACATGTTAACTTATTCTTCAAACAGGTTATTCCTTCTTGGTTTAGACAAATATGGGAAGGGTGATTGGAGAAGTATCTCGAGGAACTTTGTTGTGACCAGAACACCTACACAAGTTGCAAGCCATGCCCAGAAATACTTCATCCGCTTAAACTCAATGAACAAGGATAGGAGACGGTCTAGCATTCATGACATCACCAATGCTAACGGCGGAGATGCATCAGTAGTACCCCAAGGAGGACCGATTACTACTGGACACACTAATGGAACTGCCGCTGCCGGAAAATCCAACAAGCAATTGACTCTAGCTCCTGCTCCTCCTCCACCTCCTTCTGGAGTTGCTGCTATGTATGGGGGAACAACCATTGGACAACCAATTGGAGTGCCTCTTGTTCCTGCAGTTGGTACACCTATGAATCTTCCGCCACATGCTCAAATAGCTTATGGGACACCTCCCATCCCTGGACCAGTGGTTTCTGGTGCTCCAGTAAGCTTGTCTTCATCTACGCATAGGTAAACGGCTTTTCTCATTCCGCCTTTGTACAATCAGATATGAATAACTTCTGCTTTTCCTTTTTCTGGAGGGGGGCATATATCAACTCTGAGTCATCATAATATAAATACTACATATTATGGTGTCACTAGAAGACAACACCCACCCTTGAAACTCTTGCATTCCATGAAAGTTGAAATGAATTGTTTAGAGAGGATGCTTTTGATATATATGTATAGGAAGCTTGTGATAATGTAGCACTTTGTTTAGAAAAGTGAGTGCATTACCAATTTACGATGGAGGAGTTGGAGGCGCCCTCACCAAATTTGGTAGTTCTAATGCTAAAAAAAGCAGGGCTATCCTCCCATGGAAGTTGTGCAGCACATGTGATTTCTCCTTGGGATGTGTATAGCATTGGGTAAATCTATTGTACCAGAGTTTGATACCGTGTGTTTTTTCGAGACATACGCAGACATTATCGGTCTGTGCGGCCAGATAGTGATTGTTTGTGTGTATCGGTGAAACACTTGGTGTCCAACTTGATGTGACTATAGCATGATTTGTTTAACATCTTCCAAGCACCTATTTTATGGAGATTTCATGTATCTAGATTGTCACAGAGAAATTTACCTAAATAGGACTAAAACATAATAACTTTCCCAATATAGGACCATATGTTTTTATTTTCCAATGTAGGACCTTTGGTCATTATTAAGTAGTCATTATTTAACTAAATATCTATCATTACTGAACATTATTCCTTCCACTAGGTCATTAATAAGTCCTACTTAGGGAATAAAAAAGTTTAAGTCCTACATTAGGAAAGTCATTATGTTTTAGTCCTATTTAGTGCAAATTTCACGATTGTCACATGGTGACTCTTTTCATTGTGTTTGTTTATTAAAAATGCTAAGAACTAACCACGGGGGGTGACAATATCAGATGATTTCATACATATACAGATGATAATTGTCTATGAACACAAATGATTATCGTCTGTATAATGTGTAAATCATTTATGATTGTCATCTGTGGCTGCACCCGCGGTGGGTCCCTAGCATTATTCTTATTTATTTGTCTACTTATATGGGGGGTTGTGGCATTTTATGCATGTCATGTCAATCAACCATAACAAAGATAAAAATTAGTTACGGAGTATATATAAATCGGGACGTTTGTAAATAATTAGGACATTGGAATTTGATTGATTAATAAATTCAAAGTGAAAAATATATACTGTAGTATGGCATGGTTCTTTTGGTGCTCGTCTTGGGTGTCGCCGAGGGGGAGGGGGTTAGTTGATGTAGGGGGGATCGGTTGATGCTTAAACAACATCACTCAAGAAAATAAAATCGGGCTAAAAGAAGTTGAATTTATGCATTTTTGTTCTAATAGTCTTCCTACTTTAGATTTGGATTTTTATTATGAGTTTGTTTATGGCATGCTTAGAAATTTGAATTTGGATTTATTATCTAGATTTGACTCAAATTTCATATTTTTGAATCAAAAAATTGAATTTGAGACCAATATTTCTAATTCATAATAAAACTTAATTATAAAGAGTGTCAGTAATGTTACACCACTTCAAGTGCTGTAACATCGCGATCTTGGGGCACCTATGATGCTTTGTAAAATTGAAGGTTCCTAACCTCTCTGACCCATCAATTTCACCCCCTCCCCACTCCAGCATTCCCCAAATTGCCTATTTAGGGGCCCCTAAATTGACAATCTAGCGGGGTGTAGGGAGAGTTGGGTGGGGACAGTGAAATTGATGGATTTGGAGGGAGGTTTAGCGGGGTTAGGGGTAAGAATTATTATTTTTGCGAATGGAGTACCGTAGATGCCCTAAAATTACCGGCATCATGAAATGGTGTTATTTTTGTTGGTGTGACAATACCAATTCCCAATTATAAATTCATATATCTTTTACCATTTGAACATCAATAATTAAAATTTGAAATTAAATTGCAAGTGTTAAAAATTGAAATAACATAGAGTAAATTTCTCAAAATAGATCTCTTTGATAAGGTATTTTTCCCAAATCAATCTTTAGTAACTTTTAATTACTTTCGTCATCTTCTATAATTGAGATTTATTTCTTATGTAGTTCTTCGTAAATAATGTTACTCGAATGATGATTTGCAGCAAAATTTATAATAAATTCTTAAAATGATCATTTCTATTAAAGTGCTTTTCGAAAATGTTTTTTTCTAAACAAAGATGTATATTTGATTCGAATTATAAAAGTGTTTTTTATATATCTTTAATTATTCATGAATTATGTATAGTTAATATAATGTTTTAATTTTACATTTAATTGTAATGAAATGACCATTTTGAGAATATATTTTAAATTTAAATGATAAAAAAATCTAAAATACCTTTTAATTAATCATCATTTGAGTAACATTATTTACAAAGGAGTACTAAGGAACAAGTCTCAATTATAAAAAACTACATAGGTAATTAGAATTTATCAAAAACTGAATTAAGAAAATATCTTATTACAAAAGATCATTTTGAGAATTTTATTCAATAAAATATTTATTCCCAAAATACGAGCTTATAGTTGTTTTGAAGAAGATACTATCAATGGTAAATTGGTGATTGCCCCGATCAAGTTTCTCGTATTCCCCAATATTTGGCCTTAATTAGCAGGCTAATCAAAATTGTGAATATTTACCCTATCAGTCGAGAATTAAGATATTACATTTGACCATCCTTGTCTTTTCTAAGAATAAATAAGGAGTAAATTTTTAAAATATCCTTTCGAATAAGGTATTTCCTCAAATTAGTCTTTCATAAGCAATAATTACCAATGTAGTCTTTTATAATTCAGATGCATTCCTTAAATAGTTTTCTATCAAAAATGTCTATTAAATGAAAGTAAAATAAAAAGTATTTTGAATGGATATTTTCTATTATTTATAGTTAAGTATTTTTCTAAACTGATATTTTCTAAGTAATGTTTTCTCAAAATGGAATCCATGAGCCTACTCGGAGTGCGTCCGTTCCTCTAGCGGCTACCCACTTAATTTGAAAAGACTATTTTGAAGACTTATTCATAATTTAGATGATAGAAAATATAAAAATACCCTCTACTTTAATGTCATTTAATAGACATTTTTTTACAGAGGACTATTTAGGGAAATATGGAATATTTTAAATTACAAAGGACTATGTTGGTAATTATTGTTTATTAAGGACTAATTTGAGAAAACACCTAATTGGAAAGAATCGTTTTGAAAATTTACTCAAAAATAAAACTGAATACATAAGGAATAAAAGTTACATATTAAAAAAATACGGGCTTTACTTTTTTTATACTCTATCGTCTTTTGAAATCATTCTATTTACAAATTCGTATATCAATAAGAAATAAAAGTTACATATTAAAAAATACGTCAAAAACTCTATAAAATAAGATGTTACAAGAATATTTTATTTTATCAAATATTTAATAAAAACACATAAATAAATGTTATCAAGATGAGAGAGAAAAGAGATTTTAATCTATTTTTGGACCGCGGGACTATTTGGTACTCCGTATTTTTTATTTTAACTTTGATTCAACATACTCTCTTTGTCTCCAAAAGACCATCATAGTTTTGTTAAATTATGTTACGCCTTGTATATAAATTATGAAAAAATCTATATTTAATTATGTAGAAGAGAAGATAAAGTTAAAACGAGAACGTTTCAAAGAGTAGTCTTTATGTTGTAATGTGGAAAGTTGGGAAAGGTATAAAATGACTAAGGCAGAGACAAAAGTAGTTGTAAGTGAAGCAAAAAATAAAGCATATGAAGTGTTGGGAATGAAAGAAGGGAAAATATGTATTTACAAGTTTGCAAAGAGTCGAGAAAGATGCGAGATTTTGACCAAGTTAAGTGCATTAAAGACAAGAACGATGAAGTTTTGGTTTCCGATGGAGGAATAAACATACAAGCGATGGAAAAGATACTCCAACGATCTATTTTATGAGTGGCATGCATGTGAATCTCTCATGCTTTGATCTTCTACACACTAGAGAAGAGGACCAAAACTTCAATTATTATCGCAGTATTTTAGAAAATGAAATTAAGGAGGCCCTAAAACAGATGAAGAATAGTAAAGCAGTGGGCCCTAGATAATATACAACATCTCGATTGAGATCTGGGAAGGATTTAAGAGAAAAAGCATTTGGTGGCTAACTAAGCTTTTTAACGAGATTCTGAGATTCAAGAACATGCCTAATGAATGGGGGAAAGCATTTTGGTTCATATTTACAAGGTAAGGGGGATATTCAGAGTGGAAACTACAAAGAGATCAAGCTGATGAGTCTACGATGAAGTTGTGGAAAAGAATGATTGAACGGAGGTTGAGAGTTGAGACAAGATACTTCAAGGTCATAGAATCAATTTGTTTTTATGCTTGAGAGATCAACTACAAAGGCTACATACTTTGTGTGGAGAATGATGGAGTGGTACCAAAGCGAGAAAAAAGATTTGCACATGCTTTTATTGATTTGAAAAAGACATATTGATGGGTATATCCCTATACCCAACCCGGATAACCGAAAGGGACAGGTCAAAATATGACCGGTCACTTTCCTCAATCACCAAATGAAGTTAACTCTTCGATTGGGACGGGTCAAAAGTTGACCGGTCACTTTCCTCAAAAAGTGACCGGTCACATTTTGGGTGATAACCAAAATGTCACCTTATGTTACGAAGGACATTCTAGAAGACCAAAGAGACGGGTTGAGCGCAAGAAATGACCGGGTAACCTTTGAGAAAAGGTGACCGGTCATGTCACTTTACTTGGCTAACGTTGGACTAGCATCTTGAAGATGGCAATCAACATCAGAGACTAGGGGACCATCCCGCCGTTCATCCATCACGAGCCAAACAGTAAAAGGGATATTTGTCATCTTGCAGGATTGATTGGATTGAGAATATCCATGTTATGGTCATTGATTGAACAGTGCTTCTTGGTTGTATTAGTAGCAAGTCTATGATTGAACAGTGATTAGATTATGTACAGTGACCTTCCTCCGGGTTTCCTATTTTGTCCATGGGTGAACAGGGGAAGGTCACAAATCCTCCTCTATAAATATGATGATATTGGGTAGAGGAGGGGGATCCAATTTCTCTCTCACTAAAAGTTCACTCTTGAGATAGAGTAAGAAATATAATTCGGACTGAGGAGATTTACCCGGTCTAGGTCATATTTTGTGTTCTTGTTGTGTGTATTTTACTACGGGTCGAGTGTGTCCAGGTCAAACCCGGTTAACCCACCGAGCTATATTTACACCATCATTTTTTGTGCCACCCGTGGGACCCGATTTGTAAAAGTTTTTCGACCAGGTCAAAACTTTACCCCCACTAAATATCCACAATCATGTCTTCAAGCAACCACAACATTGTTTCAAGCCAGGCTGCGCGTGAAAGCACTCCTGCCATCCCACTAATGATGACGAGCATGGGGACGACCTTTGCCCCAATCACCACGGTAGGATCAGTTGGCATGATCCCAATCATGTCGACCCCTACTCCTACGCCAACGACGACAATGTTCCCAGGCTCAATAACAACACCTCGGGGGAGCGTTCACACCATACTCGTCAAGCTTGGCACAATTTGCTTCCGACCCGGCAAATGCTCAAGCTCTACAGGGCTATCAACAGGTGATGGCCATGATGCAACAGGCAGGGGGCTTCATGCCATTTGCCTATCCTGGCATGATGCCACCGATCATGAGTCCAATGGTACCCCCGGTATCAACTCCGTCGACGTTCGTCCCCAGGATGATCCCTTTACGCCCGGTGAATTTGACGGGGACCATGAACGAAGCGGCACCCTCAAATGTCCATGAAGTTGATGAGGCGGAGCAAGAGGTAGCCCGCAGAAAGAAGGGTAAGGCTATAGCCAAGCCTAGTAAGACCCGGGATTCAGCTTTCAAACGCCTGGGGGACAAAGAGGACGGACCTCGCAAGTCTGCCAAGCTACGTCTTGGTCCTGAGATGGGCCGGACTAGCGCAATGGAAAGACTTGGCGGGAGTCGTCCCGCCCAATCACGTCGTTCTAGGGAATCTGAGATGATTCACCTAGACGAGGAGGAAGCAGAAAGCCAGCCCAGAGCGTCGTCATATACCAGGCTCTCATATGATGAGGATGACCTAAACAAGATAGGGAGCGTATCGAGGAAGCTACGTGCCCTGGAGGAAAAGGTAGAAGAGAAGGCAGGAGCAAAGAAGCATACCCTGGCCAAATCACCCTTTTCGGCCAGGGTACATGCACAAAAGTTGAGGCGAAAGGTCAAGCTGGACGTGGAGAAATTCACTGGAAAGGAGGATCCAAACGTCCACCTTGACACCTTCCATAATGCTGCACAAATGGCCGGGTGTACTGATGCTGAAGAATGCCTACTCTTCTTCTCATCTTTGAGAGGGAGACCAGTGGAATGGTTTAATGGCCTTCCTCATGGTAAGATCGGGTCCTTTGAGAAACCTGCTGAAGTTTTTCGCAAGAAGTACCAGGACAACTGTATCAAACGGAAGAAGTTCACCTACCTTAACACGGTAGGGCAGAGGGAGAAGGAGTCCTTAACTCAATTCTTAACTCGCTGGAGGGATGAGGTTGACAAAGTAGAAGAGATTGTAACGCCCCAAAACATACCCTAGAATTATTAATAAATAAATAATAAATTAATCAAATTCGTTTTGATTAGAATAAATTGTTGTTGGGTTTTGGACCAAAATAAAATATATATTGAAATCCAATAAACATAATTGGGATAAATCTCATAGAGATAAATCCAACATGTTGACTTATTGTGTGATCTTGATTGGGAACCTGTGTACAGACCCAAGTTAAGAATAAATGAAGAAAATTGTTTATGATGTAAACTTTGAAATGATTTATTGAAATAAATCATGTAAATAAATAATCTGAATGGAATGTAAGAACCTTTTTGAGTAAAGGTCAATTAAACCAATTTTGACTCTATCAAAGTCAAACACCCAAAAATATGATGTCGGAAAAAGTATTTAAAATAATTATAAAAATTATATCATTTAATAGAGTTTAGCTGTCTGATCGCAACGGTACAAACGAAATTCAATTTGGAGAAAGTTGGACCAAAAAGTGTACCCTGACTGGGACCAAATTAGTCCCAATCACGGAGTAACGTGCTCAATCTATTTATCTCCGAAAGAAGATTGGCGAATTTGGAAATCTAAGCAACATCGACTCAGCCCAGTGTCCTCTTCTTCTTCTCTTCTCCTATAAAGGATACTCAATCCTTACCAATTCTACACCAAATTCCTGGAAATTTGTACCATTGTATTCATAAGAGTGAGGAGAGCATTCTGGTATTGTTGGTTGCCACCGAAGTCGCCGGAGTTGGGAGATATCATCGCCGGAAGTTTCGCCGGAAAATTCTCAAAACCATCGATAAGCTTCGAGGTAAGCCCGTAGATATATCTAGTGACTAGAATGTTCGTATAGATCGTTTCTACGTTCATAAACGGTCGTTTGGTTGTGTTTTATGTTTGACATGTTTGAAGAACTAAGAATCTTAAACCTTGAATTTGATGTTAAAACTACGAATTAATGACTCTAAAATGATTTCTGAACATTGGAGAACATTTTTATATAATTTAATCGAAGTTTGGTGATTAAAAATGATAATGTTAAACTTGACTAGAGGAAGAGGATGATGAACAGTGGCCAAAAATCGATTAAATACTTGCTAAAAATCGATTAGAATTTTATTCAGATCAGTGGTTCGAAGTCAGTACCATTTAATCGATTATTGATATTGTAAAAATCGATTATTATTAATTAATTGATTACTTATATTGTAAAAATCAATTATTATGAATTAATTGATTATTTAAGTTATAAAAATCGATTATTATGAATTAAATGATTATTTAAATTTTAAAAATAGATTATTATGACATAATTGATTATTTAAATTGTAAAAATCGATTATTATGAATTAATGGATTATTTAAATGGTAAAAATCGATATTTAATGAATTAATTGATTATTTAAATTGTAAAAATCGATTTTTATAGATTAATTGATTATTTATATTGTAAAAATCAATTATTATTAATTAATTGATTATTTAAATTGTAAAAATCGATTATTATGAATTAATCTATTATTTAAATTGAAGAAATCGATTATTATGAATTAATTGATTATTTTAAATTATTTTCCTCAATTCCAGACGAAAATGTTACTGAAAATATGCTCTATAATCCTATTTTTGATACCAATTAATTATGCACAATATAAGTATGATTTTGTATAATAAAAATGATGTTTTTAGCATATAAAACATTATGTGATGCATGACGTTAAGTTAGGGTGTTAACACTCAAAACTAGACCGCTATTTGTTATCAATTATTTTGTTGATTAATGATTGTGATGAATGATTATTATGGATGATCATGAATGATGAACTAACTAATCAAAATGATTATTGATGATTGAGCCGTGAGTATAATGAATATATTGATAATTATTAAACGATTTGTATTGTTAAGGATATCTAGTAGACTTTAAGATATACCTATTAGCTGATTGATGTTAAAACTATCTAGAAGACCTCTAGAATAGATCTTATAATGAACTTATGAAAACATGAATAGTTGATGGATTAGATAAAAATGCATAAACGGGATTTGTAGTCCAAACTAGAGGATCACTCGTTTGGGAATGCCCGTCCAATGTTGATCATTTGTTATATTGTTGTTGCCTTAAGTGACTATAGTTAAGTGTCCGAATCATTTGCCTTAAACTAGTGATAGTTTAAGTGTCTGATTGCCTCAACTGACTACAGTTAAGTGTCTGAAATCATTTGCCTTAAACTAATGATAGTTTAAGTGTCTGATTAATAATTTCCTTTTAAGAATCTGGTTATAGAAATTATGATCTGGCCTTAGACTAAGAATAGCTAAGAGCATTATTATGATCTGGTCTTAGACTAAGAATAGCTAAGAGCGTTGTTATGATCAGGCCTTAGATTAAGAATAATTTAAGGGCACTGTCGGAATAATATCTGAATTGAATAAATTGTGTTGATATGAACTAAACATTATCAAAACTCTGAATGACTGAAATGAACATTGTGTGCATGATATCAAATGATTTGATTATGAATTTAGATTCAGTTTATATGGATGTTCGACGCATTAGATATGCTTACTCAGCTTTACCGCTGAGCATGTAGTGTGTTTCATTTGCTACACGCAAGTAAACAGAAAGAACAGTGTGATCCTGGCGAAAGATGGGGCGAGATTGTCGGGATGGATGTGACAAGTTTTGAAACAATTTATGATATGTCAATATTAAAATCACTTCTGCAATATTGTTGAATACTCCGTACTGTATATGTTATGAAAAATATTATTGGGATTAATAAAGTGTGTTTGAAAAGTTTCAAATTTTTACGATTACCTAGTTAAATACTTTAGTCCGAATGGGGCTGCAGACCTGGACGGATTAGGGTGTTACAAAGATGGACGACAAGACGGCCATGTCTTTGCTGATGAATGCCTTTCGGTCGGGTGACCTCTACACTGAATTTTGTAGGAGGCCACCCTCCTCTTATCAGGAAGCCTACAATACGGGATGGGAGTATGCCGAGGCGGAGGTCCTGAACAAGAGCAAGCGGGAACTGGAGGAAGGCTATACAAGGGTGAAAACCGATAAGCCGAAGAAGGATGACCAGATGGGAGGGTCCAAGCCAAGGGCTACATATGACGGGACAGTCCATCAAATCAGGGATGAGAAGAAGGGAGAACAACCCAAGAGGCCTTGGACGGAGAAGTGGTGTACCTACCACCAATCTGACTCCCACAATACGGCAGATTGTCGAAATGTCAAGGCTGTGCTCAAGGAGATGGCCTTGAAGGGAGAGCTAGGGGAAGGTTATGCGACGGGACATAAGAAGGACCCGAAAGCAAACACCTGGACCTGTCCTCAGGAGAAAGATCAAGGAAGGAGAAGAGGTAAGGATAACAACAAGCCGGATAAAGAGTTCATCGAGATGATTGTTGGCGGCCCGGGAGGCGGGGATACTGCCTCCCAGCGAAACAACTGGGCCAGGAGTCTACATGTGTCAGTGGTTTCCTTGGAACCACAGGGGAAGCAAAAGAGGAGAGAACCTATCACTTTCACTGATAGGGATCTGCCCAGGACGGGGGGAGATCACAATGACCCTTTGGTCATTACAATGGATATCTACGGAGCTGATGTGGCCAGGGTCCTGGTTGACACAGGAAGTAGTGTCAATGTTTTGTACTTGGATGCTTTTAAGAAATTAAAACTTGACAGGTCCATGTTAAGGCCATTGCAAACTCCGTTATCAGGCTTCACTGGAGCTAGCATAGAAGCGGAAGGTCAGATCACCTTACCAGTTACCTTGGGGTCGGGTAACAAAATAGTGACCAAACAAATGAGATTTCTTGTGGTTGACATCAAGTGTGTACATAATGCCATTCTGGGTAGACTGGAATGAATCAGGTCAGGGCCATTATTTCAATGGCACACTTGTGTATGAAATTCTATACTCCCAATGGGATCGGGGAGGAAAGAGGTGACCAGAAGAATGCACGGTCTTGTTATCTAGAAGCGGTGAAGAAGATGACCCGCCAATTCGAGCAAATTGAATTGGTCTCCCAACAGGTGGACAAGGGTGAGGAGAAAGCTAGGATCGAGCCGGATGCAAACACGGAGGAGATCCAGATTGATACCTTCAATCCCGAGAGGAAGGTCAAAACCAGGGCTGATCTTCAAGGAGAGCAAAGGACTGAGATTGTCCAGGTGCTGAACAGGTATAAATCATTATTTGCCTGGAGTGTTGCTGATATGCTCGGAATTGACCAGTCAGTCATTTGCCATCGTCTCTCCATTCTTGAGGGGTTTAGGCCTGTAAGACAGAAGAAGAGATTCTTGGAAAGTGAACAGAGGGATTTTGTGAAGAAGGAGGTCAAGGACCTACTTGAGGTAGGTCATATCAGGGAAGTAAATTACCCTGAATGGCTGGCCAATGTTGTCCTGGCCCCGAAGGGTGATACCTGGAGGATGTGCGTGGACTACACATACCTCAACAAGGCATTCCCAATGGATTCTTACCCTCTCCCTGGCCTGGACCAAATGGTTGATGAAACCGCCGGGTGTGAGCTGCTTAGTTTCATGGATGGCTTCAAGGGGTATCACCAAATTTTCATGGCGGAAGGTGACGAGGAGAAGACGGCCTTCCTCACCCCGGATGGGACGTACTGTTACAGGGTGATGGCCTTTGGGTTGAAAAACTCAGGGGCAACTTATCAAAGGATGGTCAACAAATTATTCAGGCCTTTGCTTGGACGGACCATGGAGGCCTACGTGGACGATATGCTTGTGAAGAGTAGGGCAGCCAGCACACATGCTCAAGACCTGGAAAAATGTTTTGAGATTATGGCCAGACATAATCTCAGACTTAATCCAAAGAAGTGTGTTTTTGCTGTAAGGACGGGGAAATTCCTGGGGTTCATGGTCACAAAGAGGGGGATTGAGCCAAATCCTGAAAAGATCAAGGCCATTGTGGAGATGCAACCCCCGACATCGGTAATGGATGTCCAAAGGTTAACAGGGCGCTTGGCAGCCTTGAACCGATTCTTATCCAGGTCAGCAGAGAAGGCCTTGCCTTTCTTTAAATTTTTAAAGAAAGCCAATACCTTCCAATTGGATGACGAATGTGCTAGGGCATTCGAAGAGCTAAAAACGTACCTGACTTCGGACATTGTCTTGTCCAAGACGGAAACGAAGGAGACGCTCTACCTCTACTTGGGGGTGACTCAGATGACCGTTAGCTCGGTCTTGATGAGGGATGACGGGGTCCAGAGCCCCACCTATTATTTGAGCAAGGCCTTGAACGGGGCAGAAAGTAGGTATACTCCCATAGAGAAAGCTGGGTATGCTCTTTTCACAACAGAAAAGAAACTTACTTCCTATTTCCAAGCCCACCCCATTGTGGTATTGACTGACCTACCATTGGGCACGGTCATGAGGGACTCCACCTCATCGGGAAGAATGATCAAATGGGCCATGGTGTTGACTCAGTTCAACATCGAATATCGTCCGAGGACAGCGATAAAAGGGCTGGTCATGGCCGAATTCCTTGTGGAAATGACGGGTCACCAAGAAGAAGAACCAGCCAGGGCAATCACCGAGCCTTGGTGGTCCATGTCGGTAGATGGAGCTTCCGGACCGAAAGGTTACGGAGGAGGGGTGGTATTCACAACTCCGGAAGGCTTCAAGGTATATCATGCTTTGATCTTTAATTTCAAGCTCACAAATAATGAGGCGAAGTACGAAGCCTTGATAGGGGGCCTGAGATTGGCCAAAACCCTATAAATCACCTGCCTAAGGATCAAGTCCGATTCAAGCTTGGTGGTAGGCCATATCAATGGCAACATGGAGGCCAAAGGAGAAAAAATGCAGAGGTATAGGGACTTGGAAAGGGCACTACTGAAGGACTTGACCAAGTATGTGATGGAGCAAATTCCAAGGGGGGAGATTACTGATGCTGACTTGCTATCAAAATTAACTCAAGCAGCCCCGGAACATGTGTCTAAACTGGCCAGGATCGAAACATTGGAGAAGGCCAGCATTGAAGGGCTCTCTGTTAGCCTGATAGAGGACGATGGACAGCCCAATTCGGATCAAGTGGAGCCAGATGATGTTTGGATGGATGATTTCGTTCGGTACTACATGACGGGCAATTTCCTGAAGATGAGGACAGGGTGAGAAAAATAAAATTGAGAGCTCCAAGATTCCAAGTGCTTGATGGAAGGCTGTACAAAAGAGCATTCGGTGGTCCATTGTTGAGGTGCTTGACCAGGGCAGAGGCGGAAAGAGTGATCGCCGAGGTTCATGAGGGTGTATACGCAGCCCACCAAATGTCCAGGACACTCGCGCAAAGGATCATTTTGCTAGGTTATTTCTGGCCTACAATGAACCAAGATTGCGAGAAGTATGTCCAGAGGTGCAAGACTTTCCAAGTGTTCTACAAGTTTCCGGGAAGACCTGCAACATACTACCACCCAGTTTCCAATGTTATTCCATTCGCAAGGTTTGGGATGGACATCATTGGAGCCTTCCCTCAAGCCCAAGGAAGAAAGAAGTACGTAATGGTTGTGATCGACTACTTCACAAAGTGGGTAGAGGCAGAGGCATATGCAACCATTACAACCAAACAATGCCAGCGCTTCATTTGGAAGAACATCATCACTCGGTTCGGGTCTCCACGAAACATCGTGACGGATAACAGGCCTCAGTTTCGGAATCTAGGGTTCACAAAATACTTGGAGGACTTCAGGATTACTCACAACAAGGCTTTAGTGGCCTATCCGCAAGGGAATGGCCAGGTGGAAAATGCAAACCACACAATAGTCGATGGCATCAAGAAGCGGTTGGGTGAGGCTGGAACAAATTGGTTAGAGGAGTTGCCACATATCATCTGGGCATACCGGGTCACTTCGAGAAGGGCCACATGGGAGACACCTTTCGTCCTTACATACGGGTGTGAGGCCAGACTACCCATCGAAGCAAAAATAATGACCTTCCGGGAGAAGATCTATGAGAAGGAAGGGAAGGAAGAGGACCATATGGCAGAGTTGAACTTGCTAGAGGAAAGGCGGATGATAGCCGAAGCTAGAATGATCGAGTATCAGCAAGCAGCCAAGGCCTACCATGATAATAAGGTAGGGCCTCTGTACTTCCAAGTGGGTGATGAGGTCCTAAGACGAAGGGAGGCAAGCAAACCAGGCGATGGTGGAAAACTCGCAAAGAAATGGGACGGCCCGTATAGGGTCACAGCAGTACTGCGCCCTGGGACATACAAGTTAGAAACAATGGAAGGTCGAGAGTTAGAAAGGTGTTGGAATTCCCACCACCTTAGAAAATTCTACCAATAGGCCGAATTTGGCAGGGCATGTATTTGTAAAACTTCTTCGATGATAAATAAAAGCTTTCTACAACAATACTTGTGTCGCTGGGTCAGTAATACTAAAATAACATATCTTGATGTGAGAGGCAAGGTAAAAAAACCTGAAAAAAGGAGATAGACCCTTGAGATAGGGGCCTTGATGTTGAGGTATAGCCTTGAGATAGGCTGGGTCTAGAAGAGGACTCGCGTCCATACTTACATGGATCCCTACCAAATTCTCGTTTGGATGGGGGCAAAAAGATGCCAAAATAAAAATTGTTTACCGTCTTGCACGAGTCATCCTTTGCGGATTGAAAAGTCTAGGGAAGACTAGAATTCACTTCAAACGCATAACATATGGACATGTGAGATTGGATGAGGGCTGGTTCTCACTGGCATTCCCCTACGTGGGAAGATTGGGTTGGATAGGTCAACCTAATAATTAGATAATGGAACATTAAAAGACTTAAAACCTGGAAGAGGGGCCCTGGAAAAAGGGTGTTGCCTGGAAGAGGGCTGAACCTTGGAGAGGGTTCGCGACCATAGGACATGGTCAAAATCTCCGAAGAAAGATCGGGTCTTGATGTCGAGACTTAAGACGAATACCGTTTCGAAACACCAATTCGAAGTTTGATCAGGGTCGGTGTAGAGCGTAACACACAGGCCAGATGGATACAAGAAAAAGGGAATGGTCAAAAAAGTGACCGGTCACTTTTTTTGATGTTCTGGATTGACAAGAAAAGGCGGACGGAGAATTTTTGGAATTGACCGGGCAACTTTGGAAAAGTGACCGGTCACCTTTTTAATGATCGGATTTTGGGAAACCAGACCAATTTGGAAAAGTTTGATTCTGACCGGTCATATTTTTGACCTGGGACCTGGACAGATATATAGTGCAAAACCGGTCACATAACGCAACCAAGCCATTGGAAGTGGATCAGGACAAACTCAACCTAGACGTTTGTTACTTTTCAACATGGACCAGGACGTTTTCAATACTTGCACGTAACCAAAACACGAGGTGCCCTGGACGCTTCAAAAAACATACTAGACCTAGACGTACTAGACCTAGACGTTTCCAAGACGAGATGATCTGGACAATTCTTAAGGGAAAAGACCGGTTACTTCTAGTAACTTGGAATCAAAGCAAGCCAATTAGACCTAGATGTTTTAAAGACCAGGGCATGAGATGACCTAGACATTCTTAAAACAATTCCTAAGGTATAAGACCGGCTATTTCTTTTGACTTGGAAGTTAAATTGAAGGCATTCAAGAAAAAGCGAGTATAACCAGGCAACTTCAAAAAAGAGACGGGGCAAGAAAAGCAATCATGCAAGAAACGATAACCATGCGAGAAAAGAAGTCCAACCATGCAACTTGAAGTTAATATGACCGGTAAAATTTAAAGGCATACCAAGAAAAATGTTAATATTACACAAGTCAAATTATGCCAGACATCCCCTAGGCCTTGGGAAATTCAAAGTTTTTTGAAAAACATACCCTAACCTACTCTAGGAGAAAGGGGGGAGCTGGCTCTTCCTTGTATAAAGTTGGGAGTTTCATCTTGGCTGGGTCAAATGAGGGATCCCTCTTTTGGAGCCTGGCATAGACAAGGGACCTCTCTTCCTTCTGACCACACTAGAAACCGTATGAACCAATCTCAGTTATCATCCTCTTCCCTTCCGGTTCCTTGTACATGACTTTCAAAAAGTCCATGGTATCCTCCAGCTTGGTGAGAATGGACCGGGAAACTTCAGTGTGGTGGCAGGCGGCCCAATTCGCCGCATCATCAGGAAAAGACTCTTCCTTGACCCGGGCAGATTCTTCAACTTGGACCAACGCCTCCTCCAACTCGGCGACCTTCCTCTTCCCTTCCTCCTCCAACCGGGCAGACCTGGCCCTCTCTTCCTCCAGCAGGGCTCTTTCCTCCTCAAGCTTGGCCTTCTCAGCCCTCAGCTCTACTTCCAGTCGTCTCTCCCTCTCGACCAGGTCATTTATCTCTGACTTGGCCGAGTCGAGCAGAAGGTTCAGCTGGGAAACCTGGTCCTTTGGCTCAAGGAGGGACCGACCAACTTCTTCAGATATAACTCCAACCTGGAAAAGAAGCTTGTCAGTAAAAGTGAAGGAAATAAATAAACCGGGCGAAAAAGTAGAGATGACATACCTTTCGGAGTCTTCTGGTCAAGGCTAGGAAGGCCTCTTCAACGGACTCCCCCTCCAGGTTAAGCGACCCGGTCTTCTACTTCTTATTCCCCTCGGAAGTCTTGTGGGAGCCCTTCCTTTTTTGATGTTTGGTGCGGGAGGAAGAGATACCTGCCCCTTTTGATTTCTCTTTGGACGGGACTTTGGGGGAGTCAGCCCGGTCATCTCCGAAGAGATGGGTGGCCGAAGGGGACTTTACCTTCTTATCCCGGATAAGCTCATCGAGAGGGGTATACCGGGCAGAGGTAGCCCCTTCCTTTTCAGGCATGTGGGGAGAGGAAGGGGGCTCGGAGAAAAGAGGCTGGTCGCCATGGAGGACTTCATCATCATCCTCATCAAGGTTGACGAACCGGGTGAAGTTCATGTCTGCCAAAAAGAACAAAGCAATAAGTGACCNTGGGGGAGTCAGCCCGGTCATCTCCGAAGAGATGGGTGGCCGAAGGGGACTTTACCTTCTTATCCCGGATAAGCTCATCGAGAGGGGTATACCGGGCAGAGGTAGCCCCTTCCTTTTCAGGCATGTGGGGAGAGGAAGGGGGCTCGGAGAAAAGAGGCTGGTCGCCATGGAGGACTTCATCATCATCCTCATCAAGGTTGACGAACCGGGTGAAGTTCATGTCTGCCAAAAAGAACAAAGCAATAAGTGACCGGTTAGATATTTCACCTTGTAAAAAAAATCAAAGTCAGAAGGTTGAGGAAAGTTAACCGACCTGGTTGAGCCCGGTCATCCTATGCATCATGGGTCACAGACGTACCCCCATCTAGGTTGGGTAACCGGTACACCCAGCCTCCGTAGGCGTATGGCTTCCCGGTCACAAGATCACCCTTGAGAAGTTTCTCGCAGGCATCCTCAAGCTCGGGAGTGGGCTCCGGATGAACCCTTTCAGGTTTTATAACCCGGTCGGCCCACTCAGGGTTAGAGAAGGGGAATTCGTCAGAGGGAAACTCAATAAAAACGAATCTTTGTTTCCATTTTTTGTGACGGGGGGGGGGGGAAGACAGGTCACAAATCCCCTTTTATTACAGGAATGGAAATAAACGAAGCCCGGGCAATTACTAGTCCCGGGCAAGACCTCGAACATGTGAAGGAAAAGATCAAGCGAGGGCTTGATTTTCAGAGAATCAAAAATATTAACAAAGAAATTCAAGAACCGGTGAGCAATGGGAGTGAGCTGACCGGGTAAAATATTAAACTTGTTATAGATTTGTATTAGGAGGGGGCGAAGAGGGAAAATGATGCCCCCTCTCTAAAGAAGCAATATGGAAACCCAACTGGGTTCCTTGATGGGGTTCTATAATGTTGGGCCATGTGGTGTTAGAGAGGAGTCTATAGCCGGAGGTGAGGATAGTACGGACCTCGGCTAGAACCTTTTTGGTGACTTTGGAAGATTCCTTGAACACTGGTCTAACATCAAGGGCTAGGAAGCCCAATGATCCCACTCGTTCTTCCCACTCATCCCAACTGATGACTTTGGGGTTGAAAAGACCGGGCAATTGGTTCAAGGGGACATGCTCCTGGGAAACTATTTTCCGGGCCTGAGAGCTAGACTGTTGGGAGGGGCGGCGAATTAAGGGAGTAGGAGGGGAGAGGATGATTCAGAATGGGTAGAGGAAGAGGGCTGAGAGCCCGACCCATAGGACTGACCGAACACATTTTGGCTATCAGAGGACGACATGACTCTAGCCTACCGGTCAAAAATAGAAAGATGGAAGAATTAAAAGACTATGAGGACTGGAACACTTACTTGGCAGAAGGCTAGAGAGAGAAAGTAAACCGGTCGAAATTAGGGAGGCAAAGAAGAGAAGTGAGAGAATGGAGTGGGTTGAAGGAGTATTTATAAGAGAGAAGGAGGAGGGTTGGATTTCGAGGCAACGTGTGGAAGGATGAGGGGCTGACACGTGTTGTGTGCAATGATGAGGGGCAAAATTCAAATATTGATTTTGGAAGATGAAGGGTTTTGGGGGGAAACTCCAAAATAACAAAAGCAGGCCTGGCGCATGAGCTCCCACGAATCAAAAATTGACAGGTCAAAAAGAAAGGTTTGATTATTTCAAAATAGGACAGGTCTGAATAGACGACTTGAAGATCCAAAAAAAAGGACAGGTCAAATAGAAAGACTTGAGGATCCAAAGAAGGACAGGTCAGATAGAAAGGACAGGTGTGATATGATGACTTGACGATCCAAAAAACGACAGGTCAGATAGGATGATTTGGTGAAACCTAAAAGCAACGGGTCAAGCGAAAAGGACAGGTCATGGGAATGACTGGACAAATTCAAAAAAAAGGACAGGTCATGGGAATGACTTGATGATTTCAAAAAAGGACAGGTCATGGGAATGACTTGATGATTTCAAAAAAGGACAGGTCATGGGAAAGATTTGATGATTTCAAAGAAGGACATGTTATGGGAATAACCTGGTGATTTCAAAGAAGGACAGGTCATGGGAACGACTTGGTGATCTCAAAAGTGATAGGTCAACATAAATATACTTCCCGCCCTTGATGACTTCCTCACAAAGGCGGTATGTGGAGCACTTCTTGATGGGTATATCCCTATACCCGACCCGGATAACCGAAAGGGACATGTCAAAATATGACCGGTCACTTTCCTCAATCACCAAATGAAGTTAACTCTTCGATTGGGACGGGTCAAAAGTTGACCGGTCACTTTCCTCAAAAAGTGACCGGTCACATTTTGGGCGATAACCAAAATGTCACCTTATGTTACGAAGGACATTCTAGAAGACCAAAGAGACGGGTTGAGCGCAAGAAATGACCGGGTAACCTTTGAGAAAAGGTGACCGGTCATGTCACTTTACTTGGCTAACATTGGACCAGCATCTTGAAGATGACAATCAACATCAGAGACTAGGGGACCATCCCGCCGTTCATCCATCACGAGCCAAACAGTAAAAGGGATATTTGTCATCTTGCAGGATTGATTGGATTGAGAATATCCATGTTATGGTCATTGATTGAACAGTGCTTCTTGGTTGTATTAGTAGCAAGTCTATGATTGAACAGTGATTAGATTATGTACAGTGACCTTCCTCCGGGTTTCCTATTTTGTTTATGGGTGAACAGGGGAAGGTCACAAATCCTCCTCTATAAATATGATGATATTGGGTAGAGGAGGGGATCCAATTTCTCTCTCAATAAAAGTTCACTCTTGAGATAGAGTAAGAAATATATTTCGGACTGAGGAGATTTACCCGGTCTAGGTCATACTTTGTGTTCTTGTTGTGTGTATTTTACTACGGGTCGAGTGTGTCCAGGTCAAAACCGGTTAACCCACCCAGCTATATTTACACCATCACATATGATAGGGTAGGAAGAGAAGTATTAAGGAAGGTGTTATAGAAAAAAGACTTAAGAATTGTATATGATGGTGCTACAACAAGTGTGAGAAGTCAAAGTGGGCATAATTTTATAAGTAACTAAAAGCTTTGTGCGATGGTGCTAGAATGTGTGTGAGTTCAAATAGTGAAATGCTCTCTTCAAGTTTAAAATTATTATAACCACTTCGGATAATATTGCTAAAAAATTTTAATCAAAAAGTGCAACGGAAAAGTAAACTCTCTCTCTTTTTTGAAAGCTTCATAATTTTTGTGTATCATGATGATTTCCCTATTTATGAATATTATTGTATAAGGGCATCTCCAATGGATCAACCATATTGTTAAAAATGAATTTTATAGTTTTGGTACTCCAATGGAGCTTCCAAAATTTAGAGCATCATTTATATATGCTTTTACACCCTCCATCTATAGAAGTTACTATAGAAAGGCTAAAAAATAAATTTGAATAAAATAACGAAAAGGGAGTTGTTTATTGCTAGATCTGTAGAGATTTTTGGGGCCTACGGGGCGACAGAGTGCAGGGAAATAAAGATGGGAGAGAGAATAGCAAAATTACAAGATGTGGTTGGAGTTTGTCAACAGAAGTAAACCTTTAAACAACTGTAGATAGTGTAAACGCAAAGTTTAGCTTCCCAATTTTAGCCTCTCCCTTGGAGATGCTCTAAGCAAGAAGAGCGTTGTAGTACCTTCATTCCATAAAAGTTTTTGAAAGACGAAAAAAAAGAGAACCCTAAAATTATGTAATTTTTAGTTTCTAATTTTCTCCTTACTCTATAATAAGGTAAAATATGATTCATCCGAGAGTTGAGTTATAATTAAAAATTAATATCAAAATTACTTATTTTTAAGGCATACGTTTTTTCATCTTTGAGAAATTTTATGAGTAGAAATTATGGAAAGTGAAGTTCACTTGAGAAAGAAGAGAGATAGAGTGGAGAAACGAAGAGTTATTCCTGAGTTGTTTGTTCTTTATGTTCCATTTTACCTTATTTGCATCTCTACCTTATGCCCTAAAAAAACTTGTTATTTCTACTCTTCCATGGACATGCTTTTGATGAGATATTTTATTAAAATTATTTTGTTTCAATTTTTTTTATGTTTTCTCAGTGTATACCACCTTCTCAAAGACACATACAAATACCAACTGTATGTGTTAACTTCTGACAAACTCATACAGACACTCACAGTGTTTAACACAAACAATAGGTGTCTATGTATCTTTGAGAAAATAGTGTACACTTTGACTACACATCACTACCTCTAGCTAGCTTCTTCTTTAACATATCCTCTCCGTCCCAAAAATATTTGCAACATTTGCTTTTTCAGAAGTCGCGAGAACTTTTGTTTATTTCTACGTTTTCGTTGGTTATTTAGTAAAATAAAATATTCTTGACACCTCTTATTTCGAAAAACTTTTCATGTAATTTTTTGATATGTAAATTTTATTTTTTATTTCTACACCAAAATGTAAATAAAATGAATTGAAAAAACTTAATATTTTATCTCGGAAATACAAGTGTGGCAAATATTTAAGAAAACGGAGGAGTAAAACTTCTACCAGAGTTAGAGATTTCACTCTTTGCCAATGGATCCACAATTACTCCCTCCATCCCAAAATATTCACAACATTTGCTTTTTCAGAAGTTGCGGGAACATTTGTTTATTTCTACGTTTTCATTGTTTATTTGATAAAATAAAATATTCTTGACACCTCTTATTTCGACGAACTTTTCATGTAGTTTTTTGATATGTAAATTTTATTTTTTATTTCCATACCAATATGTAAACAAAATGAATTGAACAAACTTAATATTTTTCCTTAAAAATACAAGTGTGGCAAATATTTAGGGACGGAGTTAGTATAACTTAGTTTACGGTGAGCCCCATTCAGGAAAGGACTCGTGATGTGACGCAGCTATCCTTCTTTTTTCACGGATTAGATTTTTTCAAAAAAGGGGTCTGTGTCAGGCCTACCATTAGCTTGGAGAAAATGAGTAATTACCGATCAGTGTAGAATTTTAATATCAAATTCCTAACAATGTAAAACGTGTTCGTTGAACACGAAATAGTTTCTCCCAATTAAATTTGTGTTCAGCGAACACAACTTTGACTTAGCTAGTTAAATCCGTGTTCAGCAAACACAAGTTGTCTTTTAAATGTATGTTGTGTTCGGCGAACACAACTTTGACTCCCTAGTTATGCCCACGTTGCAATGATTGAAATTACAATTTGTATAACACAAAATAAAATTAAACATAACACTGCCTATTTAAAACAAAACATACATTGAATATTTAAAAAGGACATAAACTAATATTTAAAAATAGAGTAAATTCAATAATTGGTCCTTTATAACAAGGGGATTTCCATATTTAGTCATCTTTTATCAAATATTACCCTCGTAATCCTTTTTTAAGGGTGCCTTTCCACAAATGATCCTTTTTTGATCTTCCGCCATGTGCGTGTTAATTTAAAGCCTAAAAGTATAATTTGACATTAACATTATGTCTAGTGACGTGTTCTGATATTGGTTAAGAGGATAATACAAATATAATGACTATGATTGTGGGCTAGGATTCCAACGGAAGACCACATTTGTAAACTATGGTTGTAGTAGAAAGCGAATGTAATTCACAAACGACGTAAACGGAACAACCTTTGGAATTGTGTATTACCAAATAGATATATTATCATTGTGAAATTACACTTTTAGCCCTCAAATTAACTCCAACATGATAGAATATCAAAAAAAGGACTATTTGTGGAAAGATGCCCATAAAAGAAGGACCACTCGGGTAATATTTGATAATAGAGGACTAAATAGGGAAACCCCATGTTATAAAGGACCAATTATGGAATTTACTCTTAAAAATAACATACACTAAATATTAAGAGGACAACAAAAAACGATAACAAAAAAAATTTAAACACAACACTGACTATTTAAAACAAAACATACACTGAATATTTAAAAACAACATAATTTCCCCTTGGAAGGGTTTGTGATCCTTCCATTGTCCATTTCATCTCATTTCCCCGTGGAAGCGTTTTTGCCTGCGGCGACCGGAACACGATATTTCTCCTTCAGGCCTTATCGGTGGCAATACCAGATACTCTGCATAATTAAAATCATTTGGAAATATCACCGGTCTAATTTGGCCGGTGTAACACAACGGGAAGTGAAATGCATGAACTTCGGGCCTCCACCTTTCAATGAGAGCCGTAATCAAACTATGATCTATTTTTATGGGGTGGACCCGATGTACACCATAAAACCCAGACCTTCTCAAATTTTGCTCAACCCGGTCGTCCCTAAATTTTTCTAAAATGTGAGAATCATTCTGACATACTGATACTTTTTTGTCTGCGAAAGCCGGATCAGACCAAACACGACTGGATCGATGAGTGTTTTGAAGTGTGAGCATATCATCATTCATCGGACCAGCAAGTTGACACTCTATGTCCTCTATATCTGCATAAAACAATCGTCAATGATAAATATACATTGCATTTGAAATAAAATATACATTGCATTTTAATTAAATAAAATAATATTTTTAAAATATTTGATATAATAAATCTAATAAAACTCTTTTTGTACCAATATCTAATATCATTTTTATTTAATTTAAGGTCAATGTTTACCAATTTTGACCGAAAAACGTCAAAAGTGAACAAATACTCAGAGTCTGGCAAAGTGTCTAAAATTACTCCGTATATAGGGAGGAAGGGAACTAAATGTTTAAAACTAAAAAAACATGCATTAAGGTCATTGAGAAAAACAGAAGTAAAAATAAAACATAACAACAACGGAAAGTACAACATTTTATATATATATATATATAAATCATTTAACTCTAGTATTACATAATAAAAAACATACCTTTGATTGTTAGCACAGAAAAATCGAAAATTTCAAGACTAGGATGGAAATCGTGTTCAGTGATCCCGGATTATATAAAAGAAAAAGTTGTGTTCGCTGAACACGAATTTGACCAACTTTAATGGGGTGGGTGTCTTGGGGAATCTGACTTATTAAATGTTGGGTGGCGTGGGGAATCTAACAGGTTGGGTGGCAGCACGCGTGTTAACTCTTTTGCTTTTTGCACAACTCGTGTTCGGAGAACACGATGTTAATTAATATTTCAAACTCGTGTTCTGCGAACAGGACTTCAATTAATTTTTCATAACTCGCGTTCGCCAAACCCGTATTACACTGATTGGAAATACTTTTCAAATTTAGGAATTTGTAGCGTGTTTTTTTCACTGACTGGAAACCACCCCGAAAGGAGTAAGGCACCGTGCACATTCAACAGTACGTGTAGTCTGTCGGACGCTTATTTATAGCTCAACACGTCCATTGATTTTAGGGTCCAATTAGAGTAGCGGTAGTGTGATGGTTCTATAATTCGAAATAGCTCTTTGTGCATATCGGGCACGAGCCGTGGCAGAGCCAGAATCAAGGGTTAGTGGGTGCGCTATACCGAAGCTCGTAAGATGTGTTCATGGAATTTTTTAATAAAGGTAATACTCCGTGCAAAACAATAAAAAAAGACTGAATTTTATGTCAAACTAACATTCATATAACTTGAAAGTATTTTAAGAAGTATTTTGTAGCGTGTGCAATTTCTTCATCAAAAATGTTAATTTGAAAAAAAAAACAAATAACGATTTGAGCAAAATCCTCATATTAATTTAAGCTCTCTCCATCCCAAAATATTTGTCACATTTGCTTTTTCAATAATCACGATAATTTTTGTTTATTTGTGCATTTTCATAGATTATTTGATAAAATAAAATATTCTTGACACCTCTTATTTGGAAGAATTTTTCATGTAGTTTTTTAATATGTAAATTTTATTTTTAATTTATATACCAAAATTTAAATAAAATAAATTAAAAAAAGTGGATATTTTGAATCGTTTTTTGAAATGTGGTAAACATTTAAGACGAAGGGAATACAAAAGAAAAAAAATATTAAAAATAACACCAATTAGTGGAGAAAAAATTCATATTATCGATTGATATACTCCATAATCGCTGTTAAAAAAATTTCAAAATAGATATACTCCATAGAACATACAGAGCAACTTGCTACGGAGTAATAACATACGGCCTCCTCTGCCGACTGCTGTATATTCGCCCTAGTACTCTTTTTTCATTTTTTAAATTTCTTGTACTTTATGATAGAATTTAGGATGAAGTATAGATCATTGGATTGAGCAATAAAACACTTGGGTGAACCAAATTAAAAGATTGAATCCAATCGATTAGTTAGTTCAACTCAAGAGCTTATATACCGTTTATTTTGCTCCTGAGTCTTGAACTTCCGATGTGGGATGACACTCTAACACTCCCCATCAAGTGGACAATCGGGCCATTTTGAATCTAACCGGTTGACCACTTGCAAATAAACCACATTCTCTTGATTTTTTTAGCACCAACACCTAAAGGACCATGAGCCGCTGGGTATGGACTTCCAGACGAGCAATCGTGTTAAACGGGCCATAGGCCGTTGGGTACATACTCCATACGGACAACTGAGTTAAAGACTAACGAGGCGCTAGGAATGAACGTCTAGACGGCCACCTTGACAAACAAGGTGCGCCAAAACCTGCTCTGATACCATGATAGAATTTAGGATGAGATATGGACAACTAGATTCGAGCTTGTTGCGAGTAGGGGTAGGTGTTAAATATATCAATTATTTAATATTTTTTATATTATATATTATAATTATGGATGTTACCTATTATAGTTAGAGTTATTATTATATAATAGTGTTCTAGAATATATTTCTCCACCTATAAATACATACTTTGTATTCTTCTCTTATTCATTCAATCAATAAAGTGTTCTTTATTATTTTTACATGGTATCGGAGCCTTCGCTCTTGGTGACCTAATACATTCCGCTTCCTCCGCCGCCGTCGCCGGTGATTTATCCGGTGACGGTGGCCTCACTCCCACTTGTTCCTCCAGTAATGATCTGCCATACTCCTCCATCTAGCTCCGCATCCATCAACAGCGCTTCCTGATTTTAGATCATATCATCACCTCAACCTACTTAGTCGGCAGATCTTCAGTCAACATGCATCTCCGGCAGTACCTCATTCCTTGTGTTTCTTCTCTAACCTAGTTGTGCACGACTCCAGCGCATGTCAATCTTCTCCCTTCTTCGACGTCAACGACATGAGTCTGTCCGCAGCGGCTCTTCTCCCATCCTCCTCGAAGCAGGCACATTTCTTTCCCAATAATCTTTCTTCTTCTCTTATGGTCCGGATGCATTCATGTTCCTCTAGTCGAAGATACGTCTCTAGTTTCTAATCACGTTTTTGGTCATCACTCAATTTAAAGTTGGCGTTCAATCTTCACCGTTCTGGATGATGGGAGCATGTTAAATATATCAATTATTTAATATATTTAATATTATATATTATAATTATGGTTGTTACCTATTATTGTTTGAGTTATTATTATATAATAGCGTTCTAGATTATATTTCTCCACCTATAGATACATACTTTGTATTTTTCTCTTATTCATTCAATCAATAAAGCATTCTTTATTATTTTTACATGAAGAATTATTATTTTCTATGAATAAGAACGGAGGGCCAAGCCTCGTATAAATAATTACAGCAGAGTCCTAATTACGGAAGGAAACCTATACAAGGAAACTACCATGTATACAAGGATTACATAATTAATATTAAATATATACATAACATATTTAACATGCACCCAACTATGTGCCCGGTGATGGACGGACATCGAGACTATAACACCCTAATCCGTCCAGGTCTGCAGCCCCTTTCGGACTAAAGTTAACTTGGTCATCGTAAAAATTTAAAATTTCTCAAACACTTTAATTTATCACAATAATACTTTCATAACACAAACAATACAGAGTTTTTAATATTGCGGAAGCTTAACAAATCATAACTACAAACATAATTTATTTATATTATTCAATTGAAAATCATCACATCCAGTCCGACTATCTCGCCTCCGTCTGCCTCTAGGATCACGTCATATCATTCTTTCTATTAACATGCGTGTAGCAATTAAAACACACTACACGCTCATCGGTAAAGCTGAGTAAGCATGTAACACCCGCCTTCCGTAGACCCGGTTCACCCGTGACCCAACGGACCAGTAGGGTTACATGGGCGGTCCGAGAACTGTCCGTAACGTAAAGCATTAATGTAAATTAATGTTGAAAACGGTTGGGTTTTAATTAGTGAAATAAGCGCGAGGGAGTTACCCCCAAAACGTGTGTGTTATAAATGCAGAGTAAATGCGGAAGTAAATGAATAAGCCCAGTCCAAAATAAGTAAAACGACAATGGTGGATTCAAGCCCAAGAGTTTAATTAATTAAGTAAATATAATATAAAACTCGTCCGCGCCGTCCACCCTCCCACCATCACTGCCCTCCAGGGTTAGCACCTGCACCGTCATGTCTATCTGCGTGTAGCAAAAACAATTACACGCTCAGCAAAAACTGAGGAGTGAATCTAACAAAAGAACATTAAGTGATAACCCATATGGCTATACACAAATCAATACCTGTACTTAACGTACGGAAAATCACATGTTTACTAACTGTTTAGTTTTCACCTCTTAGGGCTTTTCTTCAAATAACAAGATGATTGGAAACATACAAGGATGATGATGTGACTTGATGCATGAATTAACTATCAGAGACAACCCTGGCTTAGCGTCACTTGACAGGATCACCCTTGCACTCCGGTTGTCATACCGAAACGGTAATTAGCCGGGAACAAGTGGACTAGCAAGACCGGGTAAGAGCCGTAACCTGACTACCATGTACGTACACAAAGCCCACCTAATGAAAAACCCGTTGGATCCCAAGGGTTCCTGGACGGGCCCACTATAGTAGGCGCACGAAAGCCTGACCTCCCTACAGCGGTATGCATATGATGATAAACCTAGGACATGCGGCTATGATGAACATGATGAATGCTTGATATATTTACCTTTGGTCAACGCCAAGATTATATCAATTAAATAACATACGTAATGAAGATTAACATTTCATGCAACCAAACGGTCAGATTCTGGGTCAATATGGTCAACGGGGTTCGTTCTACAAACTGCCCGGGGAACAGTCGACCGTACCCTACCGGCGGCCGACCGTGGGCTACGTTAGGGATGACTGGAATGCCGATGGTCCACCGGGGTCTTCCGTCGCGGCCGGCGGTCGACCGTTACGGTGGTGACCGTCGGTGCGGCTGTGGGGACGGTCCACCATCCGTGGCGGCGGTCGATTGTTCCGAAGATAGTCCGCTGCCCGTTGCTTCGTTTTGATCCGTTTTGCTAATTTAACACTTAGATTCTTTTAAGAAGAATAATACAAAGTTGATGAATATATTCCTAGTGATTCCTAGGCCATTATATACAAGCTTTACGTGATAACGTTTTGATGGCTAATCTACAAACATGAATAGATTCTACGTAGGTTGCGTACGATATTCCTATGAACATAACGACATAGATTATAACTAAATGTTCTAGAATTAGAGGGAAACAACTACTCACCTTTAAACGTAGGGGTTGAACGAACGGATGAACGATGACTACGTTTCACACGAATGGCTTAGCTCTTCATTCCTTCCTTCCTTCCTCAACCGTGCATCCACCAGAACTTCGCCGGAGACTACCCCTGAGATGCTGTTGCTGGCCGAAAGTAAGAGAGAGGGAGAAAAGATGAATGGTGATGATGGAGCTTGATGATTAAATTAACAATGGGGGGGTTACAAAATGATAATAATAAGGGTGGGGAGTGATGGAGTTTTATGGTGATTAAGGAAGCTATTAAATGGAAATGATGGTGGTGTTGAGGGAGCCGAACCAAGGGGCATGGGGGGTTACAAATATTTTCTTACTCCATTATGTAGAAATCTGACCTGAACGGTACGCGTATTTTTCCCGAACAGGTCCAAATTGAGATCCGTTTGCGTTTCTGGAATCAGACAGTCAAAACGAATTTAATGATATGATCAAATAATTTTTCTAAGAACTTTTATTTTCCCCAACTCCGGTCCGGGATAGTAATTAATTATTTAAAATAATCAATTCTATTAGACCGGGTTGCAGGGCGTTATAATTATCCACCCCTTAAGAAAATTTCGTCCTCGAAATTTACCTGATCACTGGTCACTGAAAAGATGTGGATAGCGAGTGCGCATGGATTCCTCGGTTTCCCTTGTCGCCTCCTCGACGGTGTGGCTTCTCCAAAGAACCTTGACCAGCGGAATGGTTTTGTTCCTCAACTGACAGACCTCACGAGCCAGAATCTCAACCGACTCCTCGTACGTAAGATTCTCATCGAGTGTGACCGTATCAGCTGGAATCACATGAGAAGGATCCGACCGGTACTTTCGGAGCATGGACACGTGGAATACATTGTGAATCTTACTCAACTCCGATGGTAACTCGAGTCTGTAAGCTACAGGTCCCACCCGTTCAGTGACTGGGTACGGGCCTATAAACCTCGGACTAAGTTTTCCCTTATTTCCGAAACGTAAGACGTTCTTCCAAGGCGACACTTTCAAGAAAACCTTATCCCCGACTGCATACTCGATGTCACGCCTCTTAAGGTCGGCGTAGGACTTCTGTCGGTCCAAAGCCGCCTTAAGTCGGTCTTTAATTACCTGGACCTTCTCCTCAGTCTCACGAACTAGATTTGGTCCTTCCAACCTCCGCTCGCTGAGCTCTGTCCAGCAGGTAGGAGTACGACAGGGTCTACCGTACAGAGCCTCGTACGGTGCCATGCCGATGCTAGCCTGGTGACTGTTGTTGTATGCAAACTCCATGAGCAGCAGGTATCGCTCCCAACCGTCCCCAAAGTCGATTGGACACGCACGCATCATATCCTCGAGGATCTGAATCACCCTCTCAGACTGACCGTCTGTCTGAGGGTGGAAAGCCGTACTGAAGTGGAGATCGGAGCCCAATGCCCTCTGTAGGCTCTTCCAAAACTGTGATGTGAATCCAGGATCACGATCCGAAATGATAGATGATGGAACTCCATGTAGCCTGATGATTTCGCGGACGTACAACTCTGCTAAACGCTGAAGTGAGAAGTCACGATGAATGGGAAGAAAATGAGTTGATTTGGTCAATCGATCAACAATGACCCAAACTGTGTCATGCTTACGTGGTGACAATGGCAGTCCCACAACAAAATCCATCGTGATACGATCCCACTTCCACTCGGGGATGATGATCTGCTGAAGTAACCCAGACGGAACCTGATGCTCGGCCTTAACCTGCTGACAAGTCAAGCATCGCGAGGTGAACTCCATAATCTCCCGCTTCATCGCGGGCCACCAGTAATGTCTCCTAAGACCCTGGAACATCTTGTTACTTCCCGGGTGCATGGTATATACGGTGATGTGTGCTTCGCGATCTCACCTCCCCCGCTGGCACTACCATACGCCCCCGATAGTACAAGATACCATCTTGAACTGTGAAATTTGGCTTCTCGCCCCGAGAGACGAGCTCAATGGTCTGGACACAAAATTCGTCGCCGCTCTGAGCCGATGCTATCTGCTGACGTAATGTAGGCTGAACATGCAACACAGCTAGAGTCTTACGACTAAGGGCATCGGCTACCACATTCGCCTTACCTGGGTGGTAAGCAATGTGACAGTCGTAGTCCTTAATCAACTCTAACAATCTCCTCTGTTGGAGATTCAGATCCTTTTGTGTCAACAAGTACTGAAGACTCTTATGGTCGGTGAAGATACGCGTCGTCTCATCGTAGAGGTAATGCCTCCAGATTTTCAAGGCAAGTACAATAGCTGCTAGCTCAAGGTCGTGCGTCGGGTAATTACACTCATGCGGCTTCAACTGCCGAGATGCATAAGCAACGACCTTGCCCTCCTGCATGAGAACACACCCCAAGCCGTTATGGGACGCGTCGCTGAACACCGTATACTCCACTCCTGAAGTGGGCTGGACTAGCACTGGTGCCTGAGTCAAACACTCCTTCAGCTGCTCGAAACTCTGCTAACAGGCGTCAGTCCAAACGAACTTGACGTCCTTCCTCATCAGCTTGTGCAATGGCGATGCTATTTTGGAGAAGTCCTTCACGAACTGACGATAGTAGCCCGCCAGTCCGAGAAAACTCCTCACCTCACGTGCATTACGCGGAGTCTTCCACTCCGTGATCGCTGCTATCTTACACGGGTCTACCGTCACACCTTCGGCCGAGATGACATGGCCGAGGAAGGTAACCTCATGCAGCCAAAACTCGCACTTGGACAACTTGGCATAAAGCTGTTGTTCCCGAAGAATGCTCAAAACGATACGTAGATGCTCGGCGTGCTCCTCTTGTGTCTTGGAGTACACCAAGATGTCATCGATGAAGACTACCACAAACTGATCAAGATGCTTCCGGAACACACTGTTCATCAGATCCATGAACACTGCTGGTGCGTTAGTCAAGCCAAAGGGCATGACTGTGAATTCGTAGTGTCCGCATCTCGTGAGGAAAGCCGTCTTAGGAATGTATTCCCTCTTAATGGGAATCTGATGGTATCCTGATCGGAGTTCGATCTTAGAGAAAACCGTGGCCCCTCTCAGCTGGTCAAACAAATCGTCGATGCGTGGTAACGGATAGCGATTCTTGATGGTGATTTTGTTCAGTTGACGGTAATCGATGCACAACTGCATCGACCTGTCCTTCTTGCGGACGAACAGAACTGGTGCTCCCCAAGGGGACACACTGGGACTAATGAAGCCCTTATCCAGCAACTCCTGCAGCTGAGCCTTCAACTCCTTCATTTCCGCAGGTGCCATGCGATAAGGTGTGATTGAGATCGGTCCTGTTCCTGGAACTAGATCAATAGAAAGCTCTACCTCCCTATGGGGGTGATAGGCCGGGTAAGTCATCTGGGAATACATAAGGAAAGTCACCTACCGTAGGGATGTCCCCCCTACTAGGTGCCTCCAAACGAGCGTCACACACTGTGCACAAGAATGCTTCACACTTCTTGCGAATGAGTCGGTGAGCATGAATGTAGGAAATAAATTCTAGAGCTTTCGGAAGAAGCTCACCACAGATCAGAATGTCGCTACCGTCTTCGGCTCTCAACCGAACAGTATGCGCTCCACAATCAACAACGGATTGGTTGGTAGTGAGCCAATCCATGCCTAGAATAACATCAAACTCACGATGTGGAAGCTCAATGAGATTTGCAGGGAAGGTCTTTCCCTGGACCACTAATGGACAGTCGTGATACACACGGGTGATTCGTAGGCTGTGTCCCAATGGGTTAGACACGATTACCGGATTATCCAAGTCTTCCCTCGGGATGTTAGGCATAACGGGAATAGGCATACAAACATATGATAAAGTAGAACCCGGATCAATTAATGCTGTGATGGATGTATCAAATAAGGTAAACATACCCATGATGATGTCATGGGCTGGCTGCTCTGTACGTCCTCGCATTGCATAGGTACGGGTCGGGGCCTTCCCCGCCTAGGTGCCAGATGCTTGCCGCTTGGGTAGACTGGACGCTGCCGCAGATTTCTGGCTCTGAGCAGGCTACGCGGCTGGAGCTGAGGAAGCTGGTGCAGATGGAAACGCCTCACCCGGATTCTTCGGACACTCCTTGCGGAAATGCCCAGCCTGGCCACACTCAAGGCATAGGCCCTGAGTAAACCAACACTCTCCCGGATGCCTGCGTCCACAAAGGTTGCAGATCGGGTAGCGATACCCATCTCCGCTTTTGCCCTTCTTCTGGACGAACGCAGATGACTGAGTTGGGGCTGACTTCACCTTCTTGCTCTGGTGAGAGGTGCTAGGTGTTGCGATCGACCTTTTGCTGCTGGCCCCTGCCTTCTGAGACGGAGGAAGACGAGATGGTGCTGCTGACCTCTCCTGCGACTGCTCGTACTCGGCCTTCTTAATGAGGGCCGCATTCAAGTCCAAGGCATTTTTGTACAACGCGTTGATGTCACCCCAACGAGCTATGATTAGATGACCTGAAAGGTCAGGACGTAAGCCCTCCACGAAGCGTTTGCATCGCTTCTTCATGGTCGGGATGAGGTCCTGCCCAAACCCAGCGAGCTCGTCAAACTTCTGACGATACTCGGGTAGAGTGAGTTCACCCTGGGTGAACTTCAGAAACTCCTCTCGCTTCGCCTCGACGAAGTGCTCTGGAATGTACTCGTCATAGAACAGTTGCTCAAATATGGCCCACGGCACGGGCTCGGGGACGTCTGCTCCCACGCGTTTCCACGAGTCATAGGCAGAGTCCTAGAGTAAGGCAACTGCAAGGTCGTCGCGCTGATTCTATGGGACTCTCAGGTTTCCCAAGGCTCGAGTGGTTCGCTCAAACCACCACTTGGCAATCATGGGGTCGGCGATCTCATCGCCTAGGAACTCCTCTGCTCCATTCTTTCGGAGCTTCTCGATGGTGACCATCGCCACTAGCGGCGGCGGTGGTGGCGGTGGTGGAAAATACGCTCCAACCATCTGCTGGAGGAAATTCATGAAGTTGGCCGCGAACTGCGGCTGAATGATAAGGGAAGCTTTTAGAACAGGGCCCGCGCCCGGGGTTGCTTGCTCTGGGGCCTGCTGTGGGGTGAAGCTTGACGCCTCCGTGTGCACGCTCACGTGATCAGGCTCCCCCTCTGGGACAGCCTGTCCATCGTTGCCCGCTGCTTGACTCATTCTCTATAGGAATAGCTTAAATCAGAACTAACTATAATATGACATACATGTGAATAAAATAACGGTGTACCTTTCCCTGGAAGTGATGTGATGGGAGATGCGGCTGTGGACTTTTTTTTTTGAAAAATACCTTTTGACCAAGATGACAGAATATGTTTGTTTTTTTTCACAAGAACCAAACTTCTCTGATACCAAATTGTAACACCCGCCTTCCGTGGACCCGGTTCACCCGCGACCCAACGGACCGGTAGGGTTACATGGGCGGTCTGAGAACCGTCCGTAACGTAAAACATTAATGTAAATTAATGTTGAAAATGGTTGGGTTTTAATTAGTGAAATAAGCGCCAGGGAGTTACCCCAAATCGTGTGTGTTATAAATGTAGAGTAAATGCGGAAGTAATGAATAAGCCCAGTCCAGAATAAGTAAAACAACAATGGTGGGTTCAAGCCCAAGAGTAATTAATTAAGTAAATATAATATAAAACTCGTCCGCGCTGTCCACCCTCCCACCATCATTGCCCTCCAGGGTTAGCACCTGCACCGTCATGTCTACCTGCGTGTAGCAAAAACAACTACACGCTCAGCAAAAGCTGAGGAGTGAATCCAACAAAAGAACATTAAGCGATAACCCATATGGCTATACACAAATCAATACTTGTACTTAACGTACGGAAAATCACATGTTTACTAACTGTTTAGTTTTCACCTGTTAGGGCTTTTCTTCAAATAACAAGATGATTGGAAACATAAAAGGATGATGATGTGACTTGATGCATGAATTAACTATCAGGGAAACCCCTGGCTTAGCCTCACTTGACAGGATTACCCCTGCACTCCGATTGTCATACCGAAACGGTAATGAGCCGGGAACAAGTGGACTAGCAAGACCGGGTAGTAGCCGTAACCTAACTACCATGTACGTACACAAAGCCCACCTGATGAAAAACCCGTTGGATCCCAAGGGTTCCTGGACGGGCCCACTATAGTAGACGCACGAAAGCCTGACCTCCCTACAGCGGTATGCATATGATGATAAACCTAGGACATGCGGCTAGGATGAACATGATGAATGCTTAAAATATTTACCTTTGGTAAACGCTAAGAATATACCAATTAAATAACATACATAATGAAGATTAACATTTCATGCAACCAAACGGTTAGATTCTGGGTCAATATGGTCAACGGGGTTGTTCTACAAACTGCCCGGTAATCACATTCTGATAATTGATTATCACACTTCAGAGAAGGCTGACAGTCAATTGTCACATTGTGACAGTCGACTGTTGCTCAGCTATGTTCCAAAAATTTCCAAAACGAGCTATAGTCGATTTTTAAGTTGATAGTCGACTATTCATCATCTTCTACCTCGAGTCAACTTACGGAAATGTCTTTTTTATTCCCCAAACTTCAATTAATGTATATAAAAATGTTCTCCAAGGTTCCTAGATCTTTTTGGCATAATTAAATCATAGTTTTAACAGCAAAATCACGGTTTGTGATTCTTAGTTCTTCAAGCATGTCAAATACAAAACTCAACCAAATGACCATTTATGAACGTAGAAATGACCTATATGAACATTCTAGTAGCTTAATGGAGGTTTTGGAATTTTTCCGGGAAACTTCCGGTGACGATAACTCTTAGCTCCGGCGATTCCACACCAAATTGACAACACCTATGAACTCTCCACTCAACAAGGAACACAACGATTTTATAAACTTACTAAGTTTTGGTGCGAAAATGGAAGTTAGTTGTCCTTCCTTAAATAAGAAGAATGAAGAAGAAGGAGACAATGGTGAAGTGGTGCTGCGTAGGAAAGTTTCTAGTGCGCTGGGAGGCGCCGTCTCCACAGTGTCTCTGATTGGGACCAATTTTTGTTCCAGTCGGGGTACACTTTTTGGTCCAACTTTCTAAAAATTGAAATCTGTTTGCACCGTTGCGATCAGATAGTCGAATTCTATTCAACGATATTTTTTTCATAGTTATTTGTAATACTTTTTCCGACATCAAGTTTTTGGGTGGTTGACTTTGATAGAGTAAAAATTGATTCAGTTGACTTTTATTCAAAAAGGTTCTCATATTTAATTCATATGAATTATTATCATGATTTTATTCAATAAATCATTTTAAAGTCCACTACATAAATAATTTTCTTTATTTAGTCTTGATTTGGGTCTGTACTCAGGTTTCCAATCAAGACCACACAAATACTCAACATATTGGATTTATCTCTATGGGATTTATCGAGATTGTAATATTGGATATCAGAACATAAGTCTTATTGGCCCAAAGCCCAACAACAATTTATTTTAATCAAAACAAATTTGATTAATTTGAATAATTATCTCGAAATTCTTCTAAGGCCCAAGATTCAACATTTTGAGTGATCTTACTTAATCATGAGCGTGTCATGTTCATTCGGTTAAACCATAATTACGTCATTATCCACACAGATACGTATTGTCGGTCAAACTCGTTATTTCTTCAAAAGGTTAACAATCTTAGATTAAGCAAGGTATCCACTGATACTTTTGCAGGCTCCTCTTTAGATTCAACATCCATAACTAAGGTTCCTTAGTAGGGTATAACATCATATTTTTAGAGTATACTTGACATATTTGCACATTACGTCGTTTATTCACAAATCTGGATGGTACGTCATTAGTCAACAGTATTCTTTCTATGATTGAAAGTTCTTCAATAGCCTTTGTAGTTTCGAATCATCACCTTCACGATAGGTATAGTTTGGGATTTAGAGTTTGTTTCAATTCATACATCATATCGTAATCTTCTAAGTCATCCAAAACATCTTTACATCGTTCACATAGTCCATCAATGACTCGTAAATAACATCAAATGGCTTTTGTTGGTTCAGAATATGGGATTTGTCATCATTTGTGAGGAAGTATTGTCGATTGATTGTGCAGGAGCTTGTTACCATCGATTTACATCGGAATGTTTCTTCATTCACTTCATGGTAGCTCTCATTATCGTTAATGAGTCTTTGTATTCATAGGTGACGACGTTCGAGTAGTGTATCATATATGTCTTGTTGTATTCAAATTTCTTTCATCAATTTGGAAAAATGTGTTCATGATAGCAACATATTCGATTGTAACACTATAGTTGATCTTGTTTCAAGGGAAGAAGAGAATATCTTCGGTATGTGATTCAATTCACGAAATCAAAGAGTAAGGAATCGTACGAGTTCTTACACCAACATCGCATGTAAATTCGGGATTTTTTGGCTTGAATGATTCCGCTTGATCCTTGTGATGTCATTTCTTCTATGGTTATCATTCAGACATTCCTTTGTTGGGGTCATAACGGGGTTTGTTTGGTCAATAAGATCATTGATCATAATATTCAAAGATAACGTAATCGCATCAATCACTTTGTAGTTCACAACGAGAGGTTCAACATAATATTTCAGTCAAAGTCATGTAATTCACAAAGTATATTGGTATCATAAAGCATCTTTGGTTTGATGAAGAATCATGGTTTTAGTATAAATAATGGAATTCAATCATTTCAAGATTGATCAAGCGAGATGTCTCAAGGGTGTAGTTAACACAACAATTTGAGTATTTCAAGGATATGAGTCAAAAGATATGAATGTAGCATCGTCACTAATCGTAGCTTTTCATCCTTAATTGTTTAAATCTTTGGAAGTTGCTCAAGGGGTCGTTGTCTTAGGGCAATAGTCATTTGACTTTTCGTCTTGTGGTTGAACGTATTTCAGGACAGCGAATCTAACTGTTCATGAGTCTCAATACGTCATATCGTCAGCAGACTCTAGTATTGGCGAGTACGTTCTTGTTTGTACGTAAATCGAATCCATTTTTGCTGTAAAAATTTCGACTGAGGATAACTACCCTTTTTCTCAAAGGTCAGATTTCATGTATATATGTGTGTGTGAGTGTGTGTGTTTATATATATATATATATATATATATATATATATATATATATATATATATATATATATATATATATATATATATATATATCATGATTGTGGTAAGAGTATCTCACAATCTCACATTATGGAAGGAACTTCTCGAGCTCTTTCTTATACCATGAGATTTGTTGGTCTACTTGGTAGTCATGCTCTTGGTAGCAATCCAAAGTTTATGGCTACGGCGGTAGATCTAGGAAGGAATTTAGCAAGGCAAAGAATTAGACTTGCTTATGGAGGAGGCAACGTTGGCCTACAAGGAGCTGTTGCTTCAAAAGTCTATAACAATGATGGTCTCGTTAGAGGTTTCATTCCTGGATACATAGTAACACGAAAGGTCTACGGACCTACTTATGGTGTAGAGCACACAGTTTTCAGCAACTATTACAAATATTTTGAGATGAATCATGCCGTGGAAGCTTTCATTGTACTTCCCTGAGGAGTTGACACTATGGAAGGTTTGTTCACCTTAATCTCGTCGGCTTCTGAAGGGTTACACAATAGACCCATTGGTCTCTTAAACATTGACGATTATTTCAATAACCTTCTCAAATTCTTAAACGATGCGATGAGGCAGAATTTCATGGCTTCCAGTCAGAGGAAACTTTTTATTTCTTCTTTTTTTGTTGATGAGCTTTTAGAGAAACTAGAGTTTGCTAAAGCTTTCCCGAGTCCTGGGGCTAGTTATGACAACTTTGTAAATCCTGGAAGATTAGACATAGAGTTGCATCTGTAATGTTCCTCATGTAATCCAAGTTGTATTCTGTGTTATCCATACACATTAATGGTTAGCCATAAATTATATTCTAAGCTGCATAGTCAATGATGATACATTTTCTTCATTCTTCAGTCTTTCACTATTGGTGTCACCGCTTCACGTCTTGTTTTGTATTGTCAGTACGTCACGATCTTTCATGTCAGTAGCGTGTACGAACGAGTCAATTTTCTTAACGATTTGCATCACTTTATTTCGCTAATGTGTTTGACGATAAGCAATTAAGTCATTAGTTGCTTCATACCAAGGCGTCAATCCTGTTAGCCTTGGTATGCTTAATCTCATGTTTTGATGTTAACAAATAATTTTATTGAGCTAACGTTTGTTCAATTGTGTAGGAACGAAAAAATCCACTAAAACGCGTTGATTGCGTCAATACGTTCACTCACACAGGACTAGCATAGAATAGCTTAGAGTCATTTATTGTTACAGATATTTGAATGATATATCTCTAAGCTCAAGCTAAATTTTGCACACACATAAAAAAGATTTTTACTTGGGTATTTTTGGTAAATATTTTTGAAAAACATATTTTTCA